CACAGACTCCAGCGGTTATCAATCAGAATAAGCTGCACAGTCCTCAAAGTTAGAGACACACTGTTTTACCAGTGGGGGAAAAAACTTTGGTTTGCTGTCTCACAAAAGTCCCAGGGGTTGACCAAGCTGCGCCCGTTCAATTTGAGGGCTTACGATATTTAGCTGGGATACAGTATTGCTCCCAAAAACTGTGGTCTTCACTACTTGATAATCAGAGAATTTAGGCAGTTAAAACCGACGTAAATTCCGTGCCCTTCCCATTAAAGCTGTATGAACCCCGCTGCCGTGCGTTCCCGGGCCCCCTCAAGGGCCCAGCCTGATTTTTGAAACTTCGAAAAATTGTTGGTTCGGCCTCATTGAAGCGGGGAACAAGCTGTCTGCTTTTTTTTAAACTGAAAAGTTTACAGAATGCGAAAACGCCTCTTTCTCTTTCCCCATCAAATTCTTCCTTGCGAATGCTCTCTGTTCCCGTTTGCTCAAGATTTTTTTTGCCCCGCTGAAGTGCCCGACGCTGATCACCCTGAGACAAAACCCAGCTGCACTATATGACCTTTTTTCCGTGGTGTATCACTTCCTCCCGCGAGAAATATTTTTTTTTTTCCCCAGCTCCGTAAAGGGAGGAGTTTGATGTGCCCTCTTTTCTTAATAAGTATGTAGCATAAGTGAACGCAGTTGCGCAGCTGTGAGAGTGCGTTTATAGGGAATGCCAATGGAACGAGCAATTTGCCAACAACGCTGTAGAGACAATTTAGGAGGTTTTGCAAAGTTATGCCGACACAAGCGTCTGACTGTCTAGGTGCATAAGTTTTTGCTTGCACAGTACGAATTTCCCCAACGAACACGTTAATTTGCAGAACACGCTTAGCTATGCACAGTACGATTGCAGAATCGCATAAAAGCAAAGCGTGCAACAAGATTGACCGTTGGAAGGAGACATGAACAAGTAGTAGCGAGTGTTGAACGTCACCAATAGCAAGGCGTGTAACATAAGTCCAGCAGTATTGAGACGTTGAGGTCACGCCGAGTGTCAACATAAGTCCCGGCGTATGTGGACAGTGTGAGGTCCCCACACAGCAGTGTAAAAAAAATCCAGGCAGTGTGTGAGCACTGTAAGGTCACCACACAGCGGTCAACGTAAGTCCAGGGAGTGTGTGGGACAGTGTGAGGTCACACACACAGCAGTGTCAATGTAAGTCCAGGCAGTGTGTGAGACACTGTAAGGTCACACACACACAGCAGTGTCAACATAAGTCCAGGCAGTGTGTGAGATAGTGTGAGGTCACACACACACAGCAGTGTCAACGTAAGTCCAGGCAGTATGTGAGACAGTGTGAGGTCACACACACACAGCAGTGTCAACGTAAGTCCAGGCAGTATGTGAGACAGTGTGAGGTCACACACACACAGCAGTGTCAACGTAAGTCCAGGCAGTATGTGAGACAGTGTGAGGTCACACACACACAGCAGTGTCAACGTAAGTCCAGGCAGTATGTCCAGGCAGTATGTGAGACACTGTAAGGTCACACACACACCAGTGTCAACGTAAGTCCAGGCAGTGTGTGAGACAGTGTAAGGTCACACACACAGCAGTGTCAACATAGTCCAGGCAGTGTGTGAGACAGTGTAAGGTCACACACACAGCAGTGTCAACATAGTCCAGGCAGTGTGTGAGACAGTGTGAGGTCACACACACAGCAGTGTCAACATAAGTCCAGGCAGTGTGTGAGACAGTGTGAGGTCACACACACAGCAGTGTCAACATAGTCCAGGCAGTGTGTGAGACACTGTAAGGTCACACACACAGCAGTGTCAACATAAGTCCAGGCAGTGTGTGAGACAGTGTAAGGTCACACACACAGCAATGTCAACGTAAGTCCAGGCAGTGTGTGGTCACATCACTTGTCTCTTAATAAGGAACGTAATTACACGTTTAGAAGTTCTCTTACACACTTTGTGGCGGCTTCATGAAGGAATTATCTCTGACGGAAGTTTAAATTGACTCCAGCAAAAATGTTGCCCAACTTGATGACCAAATTTTTCATCCTTTCAAGGTAGTGGCTGAAGTTTGTGACAGCGTGGCCTGAGCCATCTTAGTAACATGGTGCCAGCTGTCTTCAACCATCTGTGGTGATGGTACCAGCTGTCTTCAACCATCTATGGTGATGGTATCAGCTGTCTTCAACCATCTGTGGTGATGGTACCAGCTGTCTTCAGCCATCTGTGGTGATGGTATCAGCTGTCTTCAACCATCTGTGGTGATGGTACCAGCTGTCTTCAGCCATCTGTAGTGATGGTATCAGCTGTCTTCAACCATCTGTGGTGATGGTACCAGCTGTCTTCAGCCATCTGTGGTGATGGTATCAGCTGTCTTCAACCATCTGTGGTGATGGTACCAGCTGTCTTCAGCCATCTATAGTGATGGTATCAGCTGTCTTCAACCATCTGTGGTGATGGTACCAGCTGTCTTCAGCCATCTGTGGTGATGGTATCAGCTGTCTTCAACCATCTGTGGTGATGGTACCAGCTGTCTTCAACCATCTGTGGTGATGGCATCAGCTGTCTTCAACCATCTGTGGGGATGGTATCAGCTGTCTTCAACCATCTGTGGTGATGGTATCAGCTGTCTTCAACCATCTGTGGTGATGGTATCAGCTGTCTTCAGCCATCTATGGTGATGGTATCAGCTGTCTTCAACCATCTGTGGTGATGGTACCAGCTGTCTTCAACCATCTGTGGTGATGGTGCCAGCTGTCTTCAGCCATCTGTGGTGATGGTATCAGCTGTCTTCAACCATCTGAGGTGATGGTATCAGCTGTCTTCAACCATCTGTGGTGATGGTACCAGCTGTCTTCAGCCATCTATGGTGATGGTATCAGCTGTCTTCAGCCATCTGTGGTGATGGTGCCAGCTGTCTTCAACCATCTGTGGTGATGGTACCAGCTGTCTTCAGCCATCTATGGTGATGGTATCAGCTGTCTTCAGCCATCTGTGGTGATGGTGCCAGCTGTCTTCAACCATCTGTGGTGATGGTACCAGCTGCCTTCAACCATCTGTAATGATGATACCAACTGTCTTGAACCATGATGATTGTAGCATCTGCCTAAGATGGCCTAGGATGTCCTAGGAATCAGTGTCCTAGGATGGCACCCTCCTACGATGCCCTATCCTAGGATAGTATTGATAGTTGGTATATTAGGTTTGAAGCCTATCGGCTACACGAGGGTTACCAAAGCTCCATGTCACCTGAACGCCACCAGTCAGAGGAATACTCTAATTATTTAATCCCTAAAACATGGAATTAATCTCTGACCTCTGACCTCCGACCTCTGACCTCCGACCTCTGACCTCCGACCTCTGACCTCCGACCTCCGACCTCCGACCTCCGACCTCCGACCTCTGACCTCTGACCTCTGACCTCCGACCTCCGACCTCCGACCTCCGACCTCTGACCTCCGACCTCCGACCTCTGACCTCTGACCTCCGACCTCTGACCTCCGACCTCTGACCTCCGACCTCTGACCTCCGACCTCCGACCTCCGACCTCTGACCTCTGACCTCCGACCTCTGACCTCCGACCTCCGACCTCTGACCTCTGACCTCCGACCTCTGACCTCCGACCTCTGACCTCCGACCTCTGACCTCCGACCTCTGACCTCCGACCTCTGACCTCCGACCTCCGACCTCCGACCTCTGACCTCTGACCTCTAAACACCATCATGTTTCTGCAACAGCTTAGGTGACCTCGTGAAGATGAAATAATCTTTTGATCTTTGTGACTATCTGAACAACCTTTGACCTCTGTGACTCCCCTGAAATGACCTTTGCCACTCCTGAAATGACCTTTGAGCTTTGTGACCTCTGAAATGACCTTTGAACCTTGGTGACCTAAGAAACAACTCATACCCCCTGTGACACCATTTACCAAAGATCTAATATATAAATATATATATATATATATATATATATATATATATATATATATATATATATATATATATATATATATATATATATATATATTTTATATATATATATATTTATATATATATATGCCAGGAGCAATGGGCTAGTAACCCCTTTTTCCGTATAGCTTACTAAAACAAAAAGAAGAAAACCGTCAAAGTGGGATGTTTGAATGTGCGTGGATGTTATGAATGAAAAGAAGCTGGATGTCCTGGCTCTAAGTGAAACAAAGCTGAAGGGGATGGGGGAGTTTCAGTGGGGAGAAATAAATGGGATTAGGTTAGGGGTTTCTAAATGAGTTAGAGCTAAGGAAGGAGTAGCAATAATGTTGAAGGATAAGTTATGGCAGGAAAAGAAGGAATATAAATGTATAAATTCAAGAATTATGTGGAGTGAAATAAGGGTTGGATGTGAAAAGTGGGTTAAAGTAAGTGTTTATGCATCTTAAGAAGAGAGAAGTATAGAAGAGAGAGGGAGAGATTTTGGGAAATGTTGAGTGAGTGCGTGGGGAATTTTAAACTAAGTGTGAGAGTACTTGGTGGGTAAAAATGTTGAGGACGGAGTAGTAGGTAAATTTGGGGTGCCAGGGATAAATGAAAATGGGAAGACTTTAATTGAGCTATGTGTAGATAGAGGTTTGGTAATAAGTAACACGTATTTTATGAAAAAAGAGGATAAATATGTATACAAAATATGATGTAGGACGTAATGAAAGTAGTTTGTTAGATTATGCATTGGTGGGTATATGGTTGATGGGTCGGCTCCAGGATGTACATGTCTATAGAGGGACAACATATATATCAGATCATTACTTAATTGTAGCTACAGTTAGAGTAAGAGGTAGATGGGAAAAGGAAAATTGCAACAAATGGAATCTATATATATATATATATATATATATATTTTATATATATATATATTTATATATATATATATATATATATATTATATATATATATATATATATATATATATTTGTTTCCTTGTCCACTGAGTAATGGTAACCTGGAGTGACCTTTGACCTTTGTTGTCCACAGTTCCTCCTGAGAAGATCCGGGTGGTGAGTGAAGCTGGCCTGGAGGTGTCTGGTGTTATTGGTCCTTATCCTGTCGGTGCCTCCGTCACCCTCCACTGTAAGGTCGACCATGGTGAGTAGTCAGAGAGAGAGAGAGAGAGGAGAGAGGGAGAGAGAGGAGAGAGGCGAGGAGAGAGAGGAGGAGAGAGAGAGAGAGAGAGAGAGAGAGAGAGAGAGAGAGAGAGAGAGAGAGAGAGAGGAAGGGAGAGTGAAAACTTAATAACATCAAAGAGAAAGGTCAACAGCTGTTCCGTTTGCAGCAGAAGGTCCCAGAACCGCATTTTCTTATGTAATCTGCTTGTATCCTACCAGCGTCACTCGTAGACGTCTGCTGCTGCTGTTGCTGTTACTGCTGCTGCTGTTGCTGTTACTGCTGCTGCTGCGGTCTCACATAACCTGCTGCACAGGTCGACGTGTCTTGTGCTGCTGTTATCTTCCTGACATCGACGACTACTATGCTTTTGCTGTTTTTGCTGCCAATTGTCACTACTGCTGCTTCTGCTGCTACCACTACGGTTACTGTTACTTCTGCTGCTGCTCCCTGATTCTGACTGACTGTGGCTGTGTTATCAGTGAGTGCCGATTCAAGACATTCTCGTCTGTTCCTGCCTTGTTCTGTTAACCTGACTCGCCCGGGGCTCAACCATCCTGTGGCAGTGTTACCTTCAACAACACGGACGTTGTTGATGTCACTGCTGTGGCAACCAGTGTTACCTTCTACAACACGGGTGTTGTTGATGTCACTGTTGTGGCAACCATTGTTACCATCTACAACACGGCCGTTGTGATGAATGGTTTGAAAAACCGACAAGTTGAAGATTGAGACACTTATGCAGCATATGGGAATCTTTATTCAGGAAACGTTTCGCCACACAGTGGCTTCATCAGTCCAATACAAAGAGTAAGGCGTAAGGAGAGGAGGAGTATGAGGTAATCAGTCCCTCAGCCTGGAGTCGATGTGTTCAAGTCCATCAATCTTGTAGAATGTACAGCATGGACTGAACACATCGACTCCAGGCTGAGGGACTGATTACCTCATACTCCTCCTCTCCTTACGCCTTACTCTTTGTATTGGACTGATGAAGCCACTGTGTGGCGAAACGTTTCCTGAATAAAGATTCCCATATGCTGCATAAGTGTCTCAATCTTCAACACGGCCGTTGTTGATGTCACTGCTGTGTAGCGGCATCTACGCTCACATATGCGTGTGGACAATTCCCTACCAGTCTCACTCCCGTCTACTCTCTTACGACAACTACAAGAGACGATGTAGAGGAGTGTTCTGTCCTGGGTGCTAGTGCTGACTATCTGTCTTGTCCTGGGTGCTAGTGCTGGCTATCTATCCTGTCCTGGGTGCTAGTGCTGACTATTTGTCCTGTTCTGGGTGCTAGTGCTGACTGTGTATCCTGTCCTGGGTGCTAGTGCTGACTGTCTGTCCTGTCCTGGGTGCTAAAACTCCCGCTTCACACACGGAGGGCCCGGGTTCGATTCCCGGCGGGTGGAAATTCCGACACGTTTCCTTACACCTATTGTCCTGTTCACCTAGCAGCAAATAGGTACCTGGGTGTTAGCCGACTGGTGTGGGTCGCATCCTGGGGGACAAGATTAAGGACCCCAATGGAAATAAGTTAGACAGTCCTCGATGACGCACTGGCTTTCTTGGGTTATCCTGGGTGGCTAACCCTCCGGGGTTAAAAATCCGAACGAAATCTTATCTTATCTTATTGCTGGCTATCTGTCCTGTCCTGGGTGCTAGTGCTACCTGTCCTGTCCTGGGTGCTAGTGCTATCTGTCCTGTCCTGGGTGCTAGTGCTATCTGTCCTGTCCTGGGTGTTAGTGCTGACTATCTGTCCTGTCCTGAGTGCTAGTGCTGACTATCTCTCCTGTCCTTGGTGCTAGTGCTGACTATCTGTCCTGTCCTGGGTGCTAGTGCTGACTATCTCTCCTGTCCTTGGTGCTAGTGCTGACTGTTTGTCCTGTCCTGGGTGCTAGTGCTGACTGTTTGTCCTGTCCTGGGTGCTAGTGCTGACTGTTTGTCCTGTCCTGGGTGCTAGTGCTGACTGTTTGTCCTGTCCTGGGTGCTAGTGCTGACTGTTTGTCCTGTCCTTGGTGCTAGTGCTGACTATCTGTCCTGTCCTGGGTGCTAGTGCTGACTATCTGTCCTGTCCTGAGTGCTAGTGCTGACTATCTGTCCTGTCCTGGGTGCTAGTGCTGACTATCTCTCCTGTCCTTGGTGCTAGTGCTGACTGTTTGTCCTGTCCTGGGTGCTAGTGCTGACTGTTTGTCCTGTCCTGGGTGCTAGTGCTGACTGTTTGTCCTGTCCTGGGTGCTAGTGCTGACTGTTTGTCCTGTCCTGGGTGCTAGTGCTGACTGCTTGTCCTGTCCTGTGTGCTAGTGCTGACTGTTTGTCCTGTCCTGGGTGCTAGTGCTGACTGTTTGTCCTGTCCTGGGTGCTAGTGCTGACTGTTTGTCCTGTCCTGGGTGCTAGTGCTGACTGTTTGTCCTGTGCCTGGGTGCTAGTGCTGACTGTTTGTCCTGTCCTGGGTGCTAGTGCTGACTGTTTGTCCTGTCCTGGGTGCTAGTGCTGACTGTTTGTCCTGTCCTGGGTGCTAGTGCTGACTGTTTGTCCTGTCCTGGGTGCTAGTGCTGACTGTTTGTCCTGTCCTGGGTGCTAGTGCTGACTGTTTGTCCTGTCCTGGGTGCTAGTGCTGACTGTTTGTCATGTCCTGGGTGCTAGTGCTGACTGTTTGTCCTGTCCTGGGTGCTAGTACTGACTGTTTGTCCTGTCCTGGGTGCTAGTGCTGACTGTTTGTCCTGTCCTGGGTGCTAGTGCTGACTGTTTGTCCTGTCCTGGGTGCTAGTACTGACTGTTTGTCTGTCTCCTGGGTGCTAGTGCTGACTGTTTGTCCTGTCCTGGGTGCTAGTGCTGACTGTTTGTCCTGTCCTGGGTGCTAGTGCTGACTGTTTGTCCTGTCCTGGGTGCTAGTGCTGACTATTTTAATTCTGGTGATGTCCTTGATAGCGTTGACTGTCATGGAACTGACTTTCTTAAGTAACCTAGACTGTCTACCTCCACAGGCTACCTCTAAGGCTGTCTACCTCCACAAGTGGAGGTAGACAGCCTTAGACAGTAGCTACTGTTGCTGTCCACTTCCGGGGTTTTAATTATTCTCTGTGTTTTCCTCCTTCAGTATCAGCTGCTTGTCTGTTACTCTGTTTACACTCCAACAGCATATCAGATCCTGAGAATTACTAGTCTTGTCTTGTTTTGTTGTGTGTACTCACCTAATTCTGGTTGCATGGGTCGATTCACAGCTCCTGGCTCCGCCTCATCGCTAGTGTGTGTGTGTGTGTGTGTGTGTGTGTGTGTGTGTGTGTGTGTATTCGCTTATTTGTGGATTTAGGGGTCGATTCATAGTTCCTGGCCCCTGGAGTGTATGTGTGTGTGTGATGAGAAGGATATCAGTCTTAATTAACAGGAGAGAAACTGCATCTACTCTCCCTCACCCTCATCTTACTCTCCCTCACCCCATCTTACTCTCCCTCACCCCATCTTACTCTCCCTCACCCCATCTTACTCTCCGCTACCCACCTTTTCCCTCCCTCACCGTTCCTCTGTTATTCTCCCTTCAACACCCCTCCATCCTTTTTCTCTAACCCCTCCTTCCTTACTCTCCCTACTTCCCTTTATCTCAATCTTTTTTCTATTTTTTCTCACTCGTACATTTTCTTATTCGGCCTCTCTCTTTCTCCTTCCTCTCCCTTTCCTCCCTCTCCCTCTCCTTCCTCTCCCTCTCTCTCCACCCTCTCCCTCTCCTTAGTCTCCCTCTTCCTTCCTCTCACTCATCCTCAACACTTGTTGCTTCCTACGCTCCCTGCTCTTCAGAGCTTACTTTATCACTGCTCTGCACTCTGATACCTTCTACCCAACACCTGAGTACTCTGATACCTGCTACCCAACACCTGAGTACTCTGATACCTGCTACCCAACACCTGAGTACTCTGATACCTTCTACCCAACACCTGAGTACTCTGATACCTGCTATCCAACACCTGAGTACTCTGATACCTTCTACCCAACACCTGAGTACTCTGATACCTGCTACCCAACACCTGAGTACTCTGATACCTTCTACCCAACACCTGAGTACTCTGATACCTCCTACCCAACACCTGATATCTGCTACCCAACACCTGAGTACTCTGATACCTGCTACTCAACACCTGAGTACTCTGATACCTGCTATCCAAACCTGAGTACTCTGATACCTGCTACCCAACACCTGAGTACTCTGATACCTGCTACCCAACACCTGAGTACTCTGATACCTGCTACCCAACACCTGAGTACTCTGATACCTGCTACTCAACACCTGAGTACTCTGATATCTGCTACCCAACACCTGAGTACTCTGATACCTGCTACTCAACACCTGAGTACTCTGATACCTGCTACCCAACACCTGAGTACTCTGATACCTGCTACTCAACACCTGAGTACTCTGATACCTGCTATCCAAACCTGAGTACTCTGATACCTACTATCCAAACCTGAGTACTCTGATACCTGCTATCCAAACCTGAGTACTCTGATACCTGCTACCCAACACCTGAGTACTCTGATACCTGCTACCCAACACCTGAGTACTCTGATACCTGCTACCCAACACCTGAGTACTCTGATACCTGCTACCCAACACCTGAGTACTCTGATACCTGCTCTCCAAACCTTAGTACTCTGATACCTGCTACCCAACACCTGAGTACTCTGATACCTGCTATCCAAACCTGAGTACTCTGATACCTGCTACCCAACACCTGAGTACTCTGATACCTGCTACTCAACACCTGAGTACTCTGATATCTGCTACCCAACACCTGAGAGTTACTCTGATATCTGCTAACCAACACCTGAGATAAGATAAGATTTCGTTCGGATTTTTAACCCCGGAGGGTTAGCCACCCAGGATAATCCAAGAAAGTCAGTGCGTCATCGAGGACTGTCTCAATCTTGTCCCCCAGGATACGACCCACACCAGTCGACTAACACCCAGGTACCTATTTGCTGCTAGG